TCGACACTCATTCATGCAGTAAACTTCCTGTTTCGTAGGTTTGATCTTTTGTTTATTTTTCACGTCTCTCTTTTCATTTGGTTCCTTTTCACGGTGGTCCCGTGTTTTTTGGCCCCCCCGGGGTTCCTGCTGTGTTCAGTGTTTTCAGCATCGCTTTGGAGACATTTTCAGGTCATTTAATGTTTTCTGAACATTTCTTTTTGTGAGTGAAAAGCTTTCTGCATTTGTAGCATTTTGGATTTATTTACCTGCTTTATTAAACACTTTGAGGTACTTTATGTGTTTGAGCTGCTTGATAAAAGGCTTCAGTGGGCGTTGTGCCTGTTGTTGCTGCTCTCCGTGTGAACGCATTAAGCACAGTTTCACCTCCTTGTTGACTCCATTAAGACTCCTTCACTGACTCAGGGTCTGTGCTTGTGCAGAGTGATAAGAGGAGGGGAAATCCACCCGCCTCCTTCCTTTCTGTTTGTGCTGCAGCTGCTGTGAGTGTTCGACCTGAACGTGAGGACATTTTCTTTGAGCAGCTCCTTCAGGTCAAGGATTTTCATTGTTATCCAGACTGAAGCCGAACGTCCCTCCGTCTCTGTCCTGGTCTGTTTAAAACTTTGCTCCTCTTAAACTTTAGTTTGTGTGCAGTACCCAGCTGTGGCAGCAGAGGTCGCTGTTCCTGCAGGACACAGCGCACTGCTGTGCACCTGCTTTATGCACATTTTTAGACAAAACTAAAATGCAGAGAAATTTAAAATAACTAAAGTCTTGATCTTGGCCGAGATGTAGAAACTAAAACTCGATTTTTATTTTCATGATTTTCTGTTTGATTCAGTTTGGATTTGAAACAAACTCTACTTTAAAATCCGTTTAGTAGAAGCCGAGGTATGGGACCTCGTCTCACTCTGACAGTTTTATTTTCTCGTGTTTGCAGCTGATTTAGGTGAAGTGAAGCAGGACGCAGTGACGGAGGCCGACCTGGAGCCGGAGCCAGGAGGGGGCAGCTGGTCTTCTGGGTGGGGGTCGTTTCCGTGCATTGTTTCAGAGCTGGGGGGAGGAGGAGGAGGAGGAATGAGAAAATGAAGAATACTAATGAGGGATTGTGCACGTGCGGGCATATCTGTGTTATCTGTGTGATTTATTGTGGATAAAATGATTTTGTGTGGTTTTCGTTGAGCTTTTGCTTTTTGTGCCGTTTTGACTCATTTTATTGTGGCGATTCTTTGTTTTTGTGATTAACACTCGGTCACTGTTGTTCTTTGTTCTTTTATTTGCCTGTCCTGTCCGGCACTGTACTAATAAGTGGCCCCACTGAAGGCTAACAAAAAATGTTCCCAAATGTTCGTCTTGTGGGATTCTTGTTGGTTGGGCTCATTTGTGCCACGTGTATTTTTTTAATGGTTACTTTTTTATGTGATGTTTTGATTCTTTTTTTTTTCTCCCTGCAGTCTCTACTTTGAGCCCAGGCTGTGTGTTGCAGATGTGACCAGCAGGGGGCAGCAGCTCCATAAACTCTGTCTATAGATTTGAGTTCTGGGGAAACGTGAAGATTTCTGCCTCCTGTGCTGTCCCAGCTCGTGTTTGTGCAGAAAACGGCCTGGGGGGGGACATTTCCTGCTCGCTGCGATAACAAAATAAGCTCAACAATCTTCTTCCTGCACATTAACTGCTCTGCCTCCGAGCCCACCGGCGAAGGGCGTAGATTTGGCATGGACGGAAGGGGCGTGTCCTCACCAATAATTTGATCTCTTCGAGTAAAGAACAACAAGAAAAAAAAAAACGATCTGTCAGCGTCTCATTCACCCAGCGGTGCAGAAAGAGTTAAATTACGTCCTCTACTGGAGTCCTACGTCATGTGACAAATATGGCCAATGTGATTGGCTGAGCCTTTCAGGGAGCTCTGTTTAGTTTCAGCAGCGGCAAACCTGCGCTGTGACGCAGTGTTGCCAACTTCGCGACTTTGTCGCTATATTTTGCGAGTTTTCAGACCCCCAAGCTAAAAAAAAGACGTGAAAGCACGTATCGCTTTTACTCTCAACAAGCAGCGGGTGCTGTAACGCAGTCAGTTCTTCTTTTACTCTTATGCTGTTTTGTGGATC